TCATCATCATGGTTGGCCAGACAGCCCACAATGTGAGCCAATGCCTTCCTCTGAAGATTTCTCCATGGCGACCTCCGATTTATCTTTGATCTCCAATTTTTTTCATTAATTGCGAGAAAATCAGACTCCACTGAGTCAGCCCATCTCTACCGTGGCCTTCCCCGCTTTCTTTTTCCAGCGGGTCTAAAAAGCAGTATCCTTTTTATTGTGTTGTCGTCACTCATTCGAATCACGTGGGCGATCCAATTCATTCTATTTATTTTTATGTATTCAATAATATCAGGTTGCTTATAAATCGTGTACAATTCAAAGTTAAATCTCCTTCTCCAGTTATTGTTTTCATTTACACCACCAAGTATACCCAGCAAAATCTTTCTTTCAAATATTGTGATACAATTTTCCTCCAATTTTGTCACTGTCCAAGCTTCAGAAGCTTGACATACGTCAAGACTGGCCGGACAAGAGTTTTGTAGATTAAGAACTTTGTTTTGCTGGAAAGAAATCTGGATTTAATAAATCTTCTCAGCCCGCAGGCAGCCCTATTCTCCAAATAGAGTCGGTTTTCTATTTCAGGAGTAATTCTGATGTGGATGGTAATAATTGATCCTAAGTAACATATGAAGAAAAAAATATTATAATTTTTAAAAATTATTGTGAAAAGCTTAAGTAGAAATAGTTTGAGGTATCGAATTTCATTAAGNCATTGTCATCCAATACTGAACTATGTGCCAAATTTGAAGTTTGTAGCTAGTCGGGAAGTTAGTTTAAAATCGATTACAAAATTCCACCCGGACAGACATACACGAAGGCAAGTTTATATAAACGTGGTAAAAAATTTATTAAAATAGTGAAAACAATTCTATCCCTTGTTTATAAACGATACGCAAAAGCAATTTGGCGACAGAGCAGGTTTGACTTAAAAGTTTCCGCCAAGAATGCCAAGCGGTGCCGAAACCGTGAGCATTTCCGTGAGTGCGGCCGGACAAGAGTTTTGTAGATTAAGAACTTTGTTTTGCTAGAAAGAAATCTGGATTTAATAAATCTTCTCAGCCCGTAGGCAGCCCTATTCTCCAAATAGAGTCGGTTTTCTATTTCAGGAGTAATTCTGTTGTCGGTGGTAATAATTGATCCTAAGTAAGTAAAACTCCTCACTGTTTCAAATCTATAAGAATTTATTTCAAGATAGGGGTCAGGGACTCTTCATCATAAGCTAATAATGATGAAAAGCGTAGAGTTGATTTCTCTGTGGTTAAAAGCAATGAGCTTTAATAATCTTGGATTTAGTGCAATACTTAACTACAATAATTGTGCTTCTGAGGCAGTTTTTGCTTAAATTTTGTAATTATCTAAGATATTTATGAAAGGAATTGTGTTGAAGCGTTTCTTTTTCCTCTAGTCAGATTAGTTATGTGTCAAACTTATTCTGTACTTTAGTTTTTTTAAAAAAAGGATCATTTAAAAAAGGAAATCAAAAGGATTTCTGAGTTTAGAATTACGCTTTTGAAACCAATAGTGCTTATAATAATTCATGCATTTCTATTCCTTTGAGGAGTAAAATTTTTTCTTAAAAATATCCAAATAAAAATCAAGTCAATTTACAAGTTTAAGGTCAACTACTTGAAACCATTAGTGTTTACAATAGTTTACACATCTCTAATGTTTTGAGATGTAAACAGTGATAGAAGGCCAATAAAGGCATTTTCCCATTATATCTGAATTTAACAGCACTGTCACAATCTGGCTTTTTTTAAATTCAATAAAACAATGAAATGCCAAGATAGATTTAACCCAGAATTTTGAAGCTAACTCGAGATACCTAATTTTGTAATCTTTCTAAAAAAATAACTTTTTGCAGTCTAATTGCTTCTCATATGATTTACATTTCTGAGAAACATTGATGTAAATGTATAATAATGTAGTGTAAATGATTGGTTATACGCAGGCTTATTTTTGTAGACTGTTTATAATGAATTTTATTGTTTTTTTTTCAATATTATGTATTAGTTCGAACAAGATTACTACACCAACATGAAATCCAAATCTGAAAATAATTCCAATATGAACAGTTCGGGTCTCTTAAACAAATCTAGTTTGAAGTTATGTAATATTGTAATATTGCAAGCATTTCAGCTATATGCCCGAAATTCTCTACTGAATCCTTTGTATGTCGTTATTATGAAAAGACGTGCAATGTATTTTGTCATAGCAATTATCCATAGAATGAAATGTTTTTTCTTGTATTGTTTTGTCATTTTAAACATTAATCTACATTAATTATATAAGTGCATAAGCTGGTTGGTCAGTGTGTTGCGTAGACTTTTACCTTTTTCGGTAATTTTAATAAATGAAAAACGATTGTTAAAAATAATTATTATAAATGTCAATGTTTATCTGAAGATTATTTTATGAAGCGACATAGCTTAATTACTTAATAAATAAAAAAGAAAAATGCATCATTTTCAGATTTTATTTTGAATAAAATGCAACACTGCTACCATTAATACAACAAAAACGTGGTTAAACATTTTCAAACATTCTAAACCATATTATAGTCGAAATTGTTTCAAGATAAACCTTATTTTCAGTTAAAGTTTCCTATTGCATTACGCGTTATAAAGGTTTAACTTGATCAAATGTTTGCATCAATCTAACAGCTTTTTAAAGTTGAAGTATACTTATATCGTACGTATATCGTATCGTATCGTATCGTACGGAACTACCAATATTATGATTTGAAAATCTTTTTAAGAAGAAGATATAACATGCAAATAGGGGAAAAGTTCCTATTGAGAGACAATCTTGATAAAATTTAGATTCGAACATAATAATTATGATGTTTATCATCGAGTGTACTTATAACAAAATTAAGTCATTAGAAATCAGTTTAATTTGCAAAAATCAAAAGATGCTGTTTGAAAAAGAAATATTGAATCACATGTTAACACGTTAGTAATATTAATGTTTACAAAAATGTTAACAAAATAAAGGAAATATGTTCAAGGATAGGATATAGGTACATAATACATACGATAAGATAGTGCAAGTACATAATACATACGCAATGTTTCGTTATTAATCCTAAATAATAAGTAAAGAATTTAAACATTCCCTATAATTCCATTCGTTTTTTCTTCTCTTTTTCTGTTTTTTCGTTTGATTTGCCAAACAATAGCACAATATTAGTCTTCTTTCCTAACAGCTTAATTCGATTAACATTGCGATTGATTGCTTCACGCTTATTTCAAGAGGAAAAGGCTTATATTAGTATGTCTATCACCATTATCAGAAAAGGGATAAGATTTCAGAATAAATAGAATCGTTTCTAATTTTAGACATGATTTAAACCATACACATGATGGTATCACTTATCAAGTAGGATTCTTGCATAAGAAGGAATGCATATGAAACACTTCTTTATATAGTTGATTTAAGATAAATTGAAATATATTTATTTACAAATTTATGATAAAAAATATTATATAAAACATGAAAGAATACTCGATGACATTTGGATAATATTTATTTGTCAACGAAGAGCCCAAAATATCAACAAAGCAATTTGTTTAAGCATTGGTCCATACTCACCCTATAAAACATGAAAGAATACTCGATGACATTTAGATAATATTTATTTGTCAACGAAGAGCCCAAAATATCAACAAAGCAATTTGTTTAAGCATTGGTCCATACTCACCTTGTAAAACATGACAGAACACTCGATGACATTTAGATAATATTTATTTGTCAACGAAGAGCCCAAAATATCAACAAAGCAATTTGTTTAAGCATTGGTCCATACTCACCCTACACCTGATTGAACACCTATTTCTTCCCCTGTAATCTTCGCATGTTTTTGATTGAGTTAACCATCTCCATCTAACCACTTTGTTATTAATTAGAAAGCTGAAGAGCGCAATAATTTGAGAAAAGAGGAGCGGAGAAAAAGTAAAAAATAAATAATAGTTATAGAAACTCCATATTCATATAGTTCTGATTCACTTACATATAAGAGGCTGAGACCTTAATAAAACGTTAATAAGCGTTAGGCGCAGTTCCGTGTATGATTGCAGACAATTTGATAATTAAGAAAGTAAATAAAAACTGAACATGGGACTTTCTGGATTATATAAAAATATATTTTACAATTTTCTTAAGAACGATTTGGTTTCTAATTAACTATAATAGTAATATACTGACCTTACAACATCAAAAGAGACATTTTACAATAAAGAATAAGGATCATAAGATAAAAAAATATTCTTTATTACCCGTTTATGCCTCTAAGGATTAAAAAAAATATGCAATTGTAAAGGAATTTAAGATGAACGAAATAAAGCTAAAAACAAAGTTACCAATATGAAGTAAAATAAAATAAACATGCGTTAAAATTAGATATACTAATATAAGCAGTTTACAATAATTGTTAAGAAGAAAAATTTAAAGAATGTGGTTTTACCTTTATCGTATAAATCAGTTTGTAAAAAAATATAAAAAAAATTAAATTTCAGTACTGTCATCTATGAAAAAAAGCACATATAATAATAATAGGAAAATTTGAGCAACAAAATCTATAATAGGTAAAGAAGTTATTAAAAATAATTTAAAAAAATAATATTTAAAATGTAAAATAGTTAAAAAAAATCAAATTGGTAATATTTTTCGGGTTTAACATACAAACATAAACTTGGAATAAACCCATTTATTGGTTTTTCTTTACATGGGGCGACTGTTTATGAGCCAGAACCTGCATACATGAATAAAAAGCCGTTTATGGACTTTATGATTCATTTATACATTCTTTCATTACAATAAAGTCAACACGTATTAATGGCATTCATCGAGAGTCCCCGTTAATAGGTTCGAGCCCCATTCATACTTAATAATTATTGTACTGGGCAGATAAAATTTAAAATTATTAAATTAAAGCTACAATTTCGTTGTTTACTTGATTAATTAATCGATTCAGCGTAGAAGGCCATGCATCCCAACTATTATGTCAAATGACTTTAGATAAATACAAATTTACGATTCCAAAAATAGTTAATCAAGCCGTAAGTAAAAAAGTAAGTAAGTAATAAAGTTTTGAAGGCTATAATTATATTGACACTTGGTGCGCCATGGTGAGGGGGTGACTAGTGTCGGTGCTACAAATTCTCTCGGTGGTACTTGCATAATGAACGATATTTTTGTTTTGACTAAGACTCAAATTTTTGTTATTTTTTTTAGAAAAATGTTTTGTTTACATCACATTGAAAGTATCTTTAATGTGATTTGTAGTCTTTAATGCATTTCCATTATTGTTGTGCCACTATAAAGTGAAATCCTGGAATTTTTCTCGATTTCCCGGTGTTTTTCTTTTTTCTTACTCTATAACCTTGGCCAAGTTGCCAGTTACTTTTAATATAATTTAGACTTAGAATTGAATTGTACTCTTTTTCATTATAGTCTTAGTTTTCTTGATAAAAATAGGGAAAGAAAAAAATATACAAAATATACTTATGAGACATTTTTCGAAAGGGAAATAAAGATCGTTCAAATTGCTAAAGCGAATATTTAACTATACGGCAGTCAGCTGTTTTGAAGCTTCAAATGATGCTATTCGATAACACAAAGTAGCAAACATCTTTGCTTAATCGCTTGCACTAATGACTAAAACAGTTTACTTATTGCTCATTTTTTGCGTTAAGTTACATTTTATAAGTGTAATTTAAAGCAAATTTGAGTCATATTTCCTAATATTTTTTTTCCTTGCAGTTGCTTATGGGTTACTTACTTTTAAAAGTCCAACGATAAAACCCTACATACTCAGATATTTTTCTTTGTTATTAATAGAAGGAAATTAAATACTGATATATTAAATAAATGTAACAAATACAATACATTTTGTTTCAAAGGCATAGTTTTTTGTTTTAAAAAAAATCATTTTTTTGACGTTGTAATTAAATAACAATGGAAGTCGTAGTTGAACAAACGTAAAAAAGTGATTATTCCATAATGAAAAGCAAAGAAAACTGTATATGTACGCTTCTAATATTGTTGAAGCTATTAAAGTTTTGTTTTTTACTTAATATAGATTGTTTTATAAATATATATATATATATATATATGCTTAAAAAAGCTGTATTTTTTAATCAGTACGAAAGCTTGAAATAAATTCATTGTATTGTGTCCAGATCAGTNTATATATATATATATAAGAAATTGTTTTCAATATTCATTTCAAGAGATATTTTTTCACCAAGTTAACATTTTATGTTGGGTTTTTCTAACTTTGAAATACTATGTTAACATTTTTCTAAACTAGGATAGCATTAAAGACTATAGGTTACTTACAAAATAATATGAAAGTGGAAATATTTTTAATTTGGATTTAAATTTATTTTTTAAAAAAAGTTGCTGCTTGTATAATGTAGAAGCAGTTTTGTTTTTTTCTAAGTGTTCTTGAGTTTATTTTTATTCCTAATATATCAAGTTTGAGAAGAAAAAAAACCTGTATATAATTGCCTCATTAATAATTTTGATTCATACCTTGTCAAAACTTAAAATTTGAAGTACTATTAATTATATATATTCCTAAAATCTGCTTGGTTTGGAATACTAAACCTATATACAATAAATATATGTACAGTGTAACTCAATATAGTAACTTTAAAATTTAAAATGTTCTAAAAAAATCAGATTTTTGCAATTTTATTTTAAAAAAAATTTAATGGTGTAAACACAGTTTTTTTTATGAAAGCATTTTCAAACCAAATGAAATGAATAACCAAAAATGGCAATTTAGAAGAGAATGACCAGACTCTCTCTTTATACAATTATACCAAATAGATTTTTTTTTATCATAGTTGAGACATATTAAAATACTAAGTATCAATTTCTTGAAAAGAAAAATTAAGAAGACAGACTAATTTTTTATTCATTGAAACGTATTTGCCAAATAAGCGAACAAAAAGACAGCACTTTGATGAATAGTTCCAATGTGAATTAAGGATATATTGAATGATATATTTAAATATAACTTCTTGATATTTTATACTTTATATTAACATTATTCATGTATCTTCTTTGGAGTAGAAAATAATAGCATTCAGATTTAATGTGTCAATTTTAATTTTCAGAAAAAAAAGGAGATGGAATCCCAGGAGATCGAATAAAGTTAAATGAAATTATTCAAGACACGTTTGATCCCAGACGTTTCAATGGAAGTTGGATATCAGGTAAAATTAAGTTTTGTTCATGGTTAATTTATATCTAATTAAAAATCATTTAACTGCAATCTGAATAACAAAGGAAACTCGAAATCTGTAGTGAATGGTTTTAATTATTTAGCGAAGTATGCATTATTTAATCCCTATTATATTGCTTTATTAATTAAATTTGGAAATTAATTGTTATCTTTACTTAACTCTAATTGTTATTTTGATTTTTAAGGTTCATTTAGAAGAATTCTTAAATTTAGAGATTAAAAAATTTCCATTTCTTAAAATAAGTACAAAAACGTTCCATTTCAAAAAAGTCTTATTTCGAGGAAAACAATTATTGATTTTTGAATTTTGCTAATTTAAGTTGTGTTGTTTTATTTTTAGTTTGCTTGTTTAACGATGAAATTACTTGCTTCATGCAACATTAATTAATACTTGTTTCAAATTGAGTTAGTAACTCGTGTTTATTTTACAGATTTTAAAAAATTTCTGAGTCATACCGACTTACTCGGAATGAGAGGTTAGTTGAAATTGTTGGAACAGTTTTGTTAAAGCACATTTATAGATTCTACATTATTATTTTATCATTAAATTGTAGCCCAGTTGTTCACTAAATAAGGATCACCACAGTGATAGTCATATTTAGAACAAGTATTTTACAATAATCAAATTTCTGTAAGCCATATGCTGATTAGCTCCGTTCGCCTCTACTCTTAAATGCGAAATACATTTTACTATTTCATTGTTAATTATTGTTTGTTTTTAATAAAGATAGTGTAAATTTATATTTATCAGAAATCAATACAAAAATGATAAAAAAAAATCTATTTCTATTTAAAGTGAAATAAAACATAGAAAATAATGCTGTTCTTTACAAACAGAGAACAGTAGAGCGCGTCACTTGAGTAAAATGTTGAGATGAACTTTTAGTTAGAATACAAGTTTATTTCAAAAGTAATATTCCTAGCACGTAGAAGAGAATTCTAGTAAAATTACCGTTCTGAATGGTAATGACATTTCTGGTACAAAAAACTACCCATAATTCTGGTTAATAAAACTAAAATATACGGTATTTAAGCCATTCATTTGGTAATTGTTTTGATCATATGGTAATGGTTAAACAGAAATTCTGGTTTCTTATTACCACATATTTAGTAACAATTACGAAACTGAAAAGTAAATTTAACCAAATAAAAAGTTTTTATGTCATTCTGTAGAGTATCATGAAAAAAGTGATAAAGTTACAATGTTTATCACATTTCATTTATAACTATATTTTTTCGTTAATTTTACCTAAATCATTCCCAAAACACTGCTCTAAAAATTACCGATCTTTTTTGGTCTTCTTATAGAGTCAGAAATATGGTAAATTTTACAATATTCTGGCAGTTTCGATCAAACTTTTTTTCTTAGTGTGATGCAAACACACAATTATATACATATTTTCATATTATATTTTATTTTAATATTAAGTAATTTTGTGTTTTTATAATTTAATAAATACAAATTTGGTTACAGCTGCATTATGCGCTTTTCTAATTTGAGTTTATGAAGTTAATGTTTAATGTTATTTTACCGTCCATTTTTCAATATTTATTAGAAATTTGTGTTTGTGATTTTTTTCCCCAACAGAAGCAAACTTATTTAGTCCAATTCAAAAAAGTCATTTTTAATATTTAACTTCCCTTTATTGAATATTTTTTTTTGTTAATTTTTTTCTGTAAAATATTTAACAGTTTGGTTGCTGATAATGTAACGAAAAGTTTTTTTTTATCGTTTAGAAAACAATTGTATTAATATCAGATACAGAGCTCTTGTTAAATTTTAAGTGATCTTGAGAATTAGAAAGTGATCGAAAAACTCTAATGGCGATAAAATCTATTCGGTGATAAAATGCTGATACAATCTTCTTGCAGAATTCTGGAAATAATTTAATTAGTATCGTCATTTGCTATCAAGTTACGATTGACATTTTACTCTAAAAATTTAGAAAGTAAAATGAATTTTGATATACGGTATGATCTATTCAGTGATAAACTTTTGTTCGTAACAGTCAGGCAACCATTACAACTTATATCGTCAACAGAAGCATACAGCTACAATTAAAATTTGATAAATTTAGCTTATCAAAATATGGTGGAAATTTCTATTGACATTAATTTTTATTAAATAACATGGCGAGAAACTCAGCATAAAGCAAACTAGAAATAATTATACATCCAACTGTTTTCAAGTGCAGAGATAAGTTGCAATTTGATTCTTTTAGAAGGGTAAAACTTTGGTTGATAATAAATGTAAATTCTTAGTTACAGTTAGATTTTATAATTTTATCTAGACATAAAAAGAGATGAAAATTTGATTAAAGAAGATTGAAAAAAATTAATTAAAAGATTTGTTGATTCTAATATCAAAGCAAACTAATAAACGTGTAATAATTACCCCTGAAGCATCTATTTATTTTTCCGGCTCTTAGAATTACGTTCATTTCGTTTTATTGATTACTGCATATTGATATTATGTTTAGTAAAAACAAATAAAAATACATGTTTTTTTTACAGTTTTAGGGAGTTAAAAATATGTAAATCAACTCCCATAAAGTTTTCATAAATTACTTTTAAATTAAATCTTCCATATAATTTTTTTTCCAGTTTTTTAATCATAAAAAAACAAGAGATATTTTTATTTTATTTTCTTATTATAAAAAAAAACAGGAGAAAGTTTTTTTAAATTTTCTAATCAGGGAAAAAAACATTGTATTTTTATACGGAGTTCTCAGACATTCTATGAAATATTTATTTACTATTAGAAAATCGCCTTTTATTTTCAGAAAAACTTTCGAATTACTTTTGAAACAATCCAATATTTGGTATTAAATTAAAATTCTACAACATCTAATTCTAAGATTATTGTTTTTTTTCTTCTTCATATTGCAGAAAACAATTTTTTTCCTCCATGATAGAACTTTATCTAGAAGTAATTATAAAAGTTTAGTTCTTAAAATTGGGGTCTGCTAAACATTTAGTTAATCGTATTTTTTTAAACTTAAAATCAAGAAATAAAGTGTTATAAAACTTTCAAGTTTCCACTTGAATAAACAAAAGAACTATAATGCAAATTAGTTTAAAGAAAATTGATTTTCTTCTAAACTTATTTATAATAATAAAATTAGAATTTTGTAATGTGTGTGTTTCTCCAGAACCTTTTATGGAAGTGTCCAAAGGCGTTCGAGCAGTGGATTGAAGTGGAAATTCTAGCCTTCGATACTAAATATCGATTTTAATTTTAATCATATGGCTCTTTATTCATGCATGGAATAGAACTTGCCATTCATAAAAGTAAAACTGCAAACATCTCTGCTTTTTTCATATATTTTAAAGATTGCATTAGTGATGTTTGTTAATTGATAATAATCAGTCGTTTACGTGTTATTTTATATTTATTTTCTTATTCGATATGTCAGTCAAATTTATTGATCAACGTGAAAGTGGTAGCAAATTAGTATTTGTAAAACTAAGTTATTCTACCTCGAGCAAAGTGTTTATTTAGTTATAGTTTTGTTTTATAAGGACTTTTCTATAAAACTAAAGAATTTAAATTTTACATTGATTGAAATAAATAAATAATTTATGTACTGAAAATCAAAATTAATAGAAAAATAGTACTTATTCGCTTAGGAAAGATGTAAAACTTCAATGATGCCTGAATAATTTCGGTAATAGGTACTAATTGAAATAATAAAAAGCTGTACACTAAAAATCAACAAAATGTATAGAGTTATAGGTGAAAGTCATTCAAGACAAGTGTAAAGAATCACAAAATAATTAATGACGCCAATAATCCTTAACTGACATAGGTAATAAGTTCAAATCGAAACAAAAAATGCTGCATACTAGATAACATTCCAATACAGGAAAAGAGCTTATTAGTTAAAGAGGAAGGCAAAAAAAAAACAAAAAAAAAACACGATACCATATGTGTCACTAAATATGTGTACTAAATGTGTGTTCTTAATTTTGGTATAGCTACTCACTGAAATAAAAGAAAAGATCAAAATTTAAATGTTGTACTATAAAGCAAAGTTAATGATAAAACGGTTGTAATTCGTTTACGAGAAGCCTAAATATCGCCTTTCTCTTATTGTCACCAATGACGCTCATTTTATTTTGGTAATAGGCGGCTCCACTGCTATTTTTTAATTGGTGCAGTTTTAATTTGCACCAAATATGCTAATGTAGGTACAATGTCTTATATTAGTATATTTAGTTCCTATTTATAATGCATTAATGCTGTTGAGCTAGATTGAAGAGAGTATGGGAAGAGAATTTTATGACCTTCAACGGAGTTAGTATTGTATGAAATCGCTTAATTGTGCTATATTTTAACTATCGTGAGTTGGTATCGATCAAAAAGATTATGTTAAATATAACTGAATGCAGTTTAACTTTATTGATGATATGGATTGGAAAAAAACTGCTTTGTTTAACATAATAATGTTAATTACCGGGAATGACAGAAAATAATAATAAATAAAAAAATAGGAATTATTTTATCTCGATTAATTGCGATGGTAAATGTCTTCATTTCGACGAAAACGGGCATTTAGCTAGAAAAGAATAATCACGATCTAGCCAGTAAAGCCAATCAAATTTCTTTGAAAAAGACGTAATTTAATCCGTATCTGTTTTATTTTATTTTTTCAAAATAAATAGTTTCCATTTCGTCCGAATTGTACTTAAATCAATCAATTCTGGAAAGTGAAAATCGTTCATATCACTTTCCAAATATAATTGAAAACAGCATTGCAATTGAAATCTACACTCTGGAAATACTGGCGTACATATATGTGAGCATCTATACATCTTATAGTTTTAAAAAATATATAAATGTAAAAAGTGTTAACTTTTAGATAGTGTAAATATAAAATAAGTTTCAAGAAGATGATTTCTAAAAAATCAGTTTTTTATCATATAATGATTAAAAAAAAAGAAGAAAAAAAGAATCTTGTATGTTGATTG